TAATGTCTGATAGATATACTTAACTCTTAACCCTTATATCTGATGGTTATCTGTAGTCTTTAACCCACATGTCTGATACTTATCTGTAGTATTTAACGTGCAAGTCTAATGTCTGATAGATATTCTTAACTCTTAACCCTTACGTCTGATGGTTATCTGTAGTCTTTAACCCTTACGTCTGATGGTTATCTGTAGTCTTTAACCCACACGTCTGATGGTTATCTGTAGTCTTTAACCCACATGTCTGATACTTATCTGTAGTCTTTAACCCACATGTCTGATACTTATCTGTAGTATTTAACCCACATGTCTGATGGTTATCTGTAGTCTTTAACCCACATGTCTGATACTTATCTGTAGTCTTTAACCCACATGTCTGATACTTATCTGTAGTATTTAACCCACATGTCTGATGGTTATCTGTAGTCTTTAACCCACATGTCTGATACTTATCTGTAGTTCTTTTATCTTAATTTGTAACAAGTATTTGTAGTCTAATTCTCATGTCTGATGGTTATCTGTTGTTTTTAACTCGCATGTCTCATGGTTATTTGTGGTATTTAACCCATGTTTTATAGTTATCCGTAATTGTAAACCTTGTTCATCAGATGTATTTATAACCTTCAATCTGTGTTTCTCTGTATTATGTTTAACCCTAAATGTTTGGATGTAACCCTTTCACTGTGAACTTTATATTTTCTATAATAAGCGTTAATTACTTTTAAATTTTACCAACTCTAAAACACAGACATTTCAGATACATGATAACAAAAGAACTTACTTTACCACAGTCTTTAAATGACTTGTGAAAAACGAAGAAAAGGAGGCCACTTTGGGATAAGCTGCCTTTGATTTATTTTTCTGTTGGTTTTTCGAGTGTGTGGTGTTTTGGGCTTTTTCCCAGTTGCTTTTGATCCTGCAACTTAATTGATGGCTGAAAGATCTGGGAGTGATTTTTTTTTTCTCTCTATACACAGAAATTGTAGTTCATGCTGGAAGGTTTTCTTCTTAGTTATGTGAAGGGACAGTTAGGCCTTATCCGACACTTTGTCAGAACTTCGTGATTTCGCCTACCACCACCACCAAGTGGAGGTATTTTTCTGACTCTCAAATAATATCTGCTTCTCGATTTTTAAGTTTCTAAGACGAATTTGTAGTTCACCTATGTAGGTCTATGTCCCCTAATGGGACAGAGTAAGTCTCCAAACTTACAATTCAACTCCAACATTTTGTTTCCATTCATTTAACTTTGTTAAAAGATCCATTGCTAGCGTGCATGTTAGTTCAATTTTCAGCTTCTACATTCCTCCTGGTTGTTGTTGGAGTCTCGAATTTCAACGGCTCCTACAGGCGGGTTCCACCACTATTTGCAAGTCCTGATTCCCGACATCAGCTCCTCGGTACATAGGTACACGGAATAGATTCTGTCTATATCCAAGGTTTCCACTGCTTAGTCAGATCACCAGGAGTGTTGGTGATTATTGTATACCTTCAGGAGCTGTGGGAGCTCGGTTTCAAGAATTTCTGAACATGTGGTAATCCATGGATGACTGGTTACTGCTGGCAACATCTTGTCAATTGTTAGACCATCACATCCTGCTTCTACTTTCAGATACAACCCAGGCAGGCTTCTCTTTCAGGACTGCAACGTCTATTCTTGCTCCAATTCAATATGTCATCATTCTGGGTGTTTTTTTATTTTTCATCTCATCTCTCAGCTGTCCTGATCAATGCTATAGAATAGGAACCTTTCCTCCCCACTAAAATCCGGTGTTAGAGACTGGGATGGTACCAGTCTCAACGAAGTGATAAAATTATCTGAATGAGGTGCATTGACGTAGGTGGAGAGTATCATGAGACAAATATTGCGAAAGGCAATTGAGTGGGGTATAAAAGACTTGAGCAAGTGAGAACAAATCAGATTAATTCTTAGATGGGCAAAGAAGAAACCCTGGCAATTTAGGAAAATGTTAACTTTTAAACTAGCAACATTATG